CATCCACTGTCCGATTCACTTTTTAAAATAGTGATCAATTATAACGTTTTAAAACTGTTCATGTCCTTTGTAGTTATAATTTAGAATTTATATCCCAAAAAAAAGTTAATGGTGGGTCTGAGTTTAGCGAATGGATTGGGTGATAAAGTAAGTGAACTCGACAAATGAATTTAATAAATAGGTCACTACAAATCTTGTAAATGTAACACAAAAATTTATTTAAATATAACGTCCTCATGACACGAGTTTGATTATGCATAACTATAAGAGCCTGTTTGATATGTGGGTTTAGGGGGTTTTGAAACATTGGTTGAGGGAATAAACTCCCTCAAATCCATGTTTGGTAAATACACATGTAGTCAGGGTTTGAAATTTGGCCCGATTTAGGCCCGGTCATGAAATCCAGGGGGAGTTTTATACGTGGGTTAATGGGTTTATCATTTAAATGACATTTATACCCTCATATACCCTATATATACAAATTGGTTAAAGGGTACAATAGTCATTTATATACAAATATATGATCATAATAGTCATATATTCATGCGCATATCAAACATGAGTATGGATAACATTAAATATTGAATCTCATCTTTGGTTTGGAAGAATTTGGACAAGCCAATTCAAACCTCTCCTAAAAAACATACTTGTGGTAAAGGGGGGTATAAGGGGCTTGACAAGATGGTTTGAGAAAAATAGTTCAAAGGATCTTCAAATTTCATGTGTTGGATTGAAAATTCAATTTTGGGTTTTCAAACTTGATCTGTAGCTAGCCCGAGATTAAACACATGATCATGAATTTTGTCAAACCTAGAAGGGAGTGGGTTTGGAAAGATGGGTTAAAAGATTAATGATACAAAAAATAATTGTACCCCTTAATATGAGTATAAATTGAATTGATCAAGGATAAGATAGTTATTTATAGGATAAATAGTTGTTAATAATTATAATACATCCGTGAGTCTTACATGTGTATGTGTTGCATACCAAACATAAGTATGAACCGGATTAGATGTTGAATCTCATCTTTGTAAAGAGGGGTTTAAGTTTAGAAGGATTTGAAGAGGTCAATCCAAACTCTTTCCTAAAATTCATCCACACAAATCTTAAGAGAATCAAATATAAATTAAATAACATTAATAAGTCCAACCATAGTTGCTCAATCATATACAGTGTCATATCATTTGTCCTAAAATCATGCGCCCAGTTGATTTATGTGTACTTCGACTAATCCGCTCTTCCGTTCGATCAAAAACAGGTCACACCCAAAATTAGAGATTGCCAAGATTCGAACTCAAGATGTAAGTTTATAGTTTGTCTCTATTACCACTTAGGTTGTCCCTTTAAGTTAACTTTCGTCTATTATGATTAGAGGTGAGCGATAAATAATTTTATCTTTCTTTGTGAAGAATAAGATATTTGAAAATATATAAAACTTCATATCAAATGAGATTGGCCAAGAGGTCGTATGAAATGTATGAGGTGAGGACTCGAAAAGAATAAAATAAATGACATAGTACCATGGATAAGTTTGCTGAAACTTCTGTGCAAAAGATAAGCCCACAGGTTTAGGATAACTCAATTACAACATTGAGAAGAACAAAAATGAAAGCATATACAAGATAATGTTAATTTTATCCAACGTAGGACTAGTTGTTAATTCTCTATTTCCTTATTCTTCTTCATATTCTTAATCTAGATCATAATTTAATCTATTTTTTAACTGGTTTGGACTAAATTACACACAACTTAAAGTTGGAAATGGATCCAAAAATAGTGCGGTGCGTACAATGACCAAGTGCATCATGAAGGGTAGTTTAAGTGGTAACAAAAACGAACTGTAAATTCAGATTTCTTGAATTAGAATGTTGATTATTTTTTGGAACTAGGTCATTAGTGAGTTATCTCTTATTATCAATTCTTTAGTCCCGGTGTAAATGATTTGTCTTTGACTAAATCGGGAAAAAAATTAATCGAAGTGCACATAATCAAGCCCAAACATTTTTGACCGTTCAACCGAAAATCAAAAAAAATTCATCACTACTTCTGGAACTACATTCTTTTATAGTGGTGCTTGGGTCAACTTCTGGGATCTTTATAGTCGTGTTATTGTGTATTTTTTATTTTTCATTTTATCAGTAGTATTGATTATGTGATGATTAGATTGACGCATATTAAATTTTACATTGTTGGGGGTAAGACTCCCCTTCTTGTCCACTTGTCAGAAACATAGATATGGTGATAAAATCTTGTGAATTTATTTTAAAAAATAAAACAGATGCTAACGTATGTGGTCAATGCAGTCCAACTGTGCAAGATAAGGTTCAATACGTGAAGATGCATGTGAACTCACAAAATTGAACTTAATCCAAATAATGTCACTTGCGATATGATTCAGCCACCACCATAGTACCATATTTGTCTTTACTTTTAAGTGTGGTTGTGGAAGTCACATCATACCATAGTGTACCCATTATTTTATTATCATATCATCTTTTTATAGTTTTATTATCTTATCTTATTATAAACTAGCGATATTTCACGGCTAAAGTTACTATGCACTAAATTATAACACTGTACATGCATTAGAATGTGTGTGTTGAAGTGCATATATGTATGTGTAGTTGTGTGTTATAGGGTGTGTGTGTTGGATTTGTAAAATTTGGAGAGGAAAAGTGTGTGTTGAGTTTTTGAAATTTGAGGGGAAAAATATAACCCCATAAGTTCAAACACCTATCTAATTTATTATATAGATGTGTCTTCTTTTTCTTATTTTTTTTAATTATCAAGAGTGTTTTGGTCTAATTTACACGTAATTCAATTAATCTTGTCTCCAATTAGATCAAAGGCAAGTCATTCATGTCGGTATTAGGGTTTTTATGAACGATAAATTTCTCATAATCTGACTCCAAGTGGTTGACAAGATTCAAACTTATGATGTTTAGATTTATAACTCGTCTCTATTATCACTTGAGCTATCATTGATTATGATACAAAAGTGTAATTTGTAAACTTTTAATGGTATCTTATTCGAATACTAGTTATTCCCCATACCTGAAAACACAGAACAATAAAAAAAAACTATCAATTATAAACATATTTGTATTCACACCTAAAATTAAATTACAAACATATAAAAGAAATAAATAAATTTATTCACTAGTTATAGTGGGAGTGAGCAGTGATAGTGGTGGGCAGCGAAGACGGTAGTGGTGATGGAGGTAGCCGTGGGTGGCAACAGTGATGGTGATGATGGATTTTGGGTGACGATAGTGATAACAACAGTCAGGGGTGACGACAGTGGTGGTGGTGGGCTACGGTGATGGTGGTTGACAGTGGTAATGGTGGGGGCAACGACAGTGACAATGACAGTTTGTGGGTTGTGGTGGTGGACGACGACAGATGCTTGTGGTCGAGGATGGTGGTGATGGATGACATTGGTCGACTGTGATGGTGGACAGTGACAAGTAGTGATGGTAAATAGATGTGGTGAGAATGGGTGACAGTGAGTGACAATAGTGGCGATGAGCAACGATAATAGTAATCAATGGTGGGTGACAACGGTTGTGGTAGTGGCGATGGTGGTGGTGGTGGTGGCAGTGACAATGACAATGACAATGGTGGTGGTGGTGGTGGCAACGACTGTGATGGTTGTGGCACAGATGGTGGTGGGGTGGTTGCAGCAGTAGTGGTGGTGAAATATTTTGTAGAAAAGTAATTTAAAAAAATCGAGGTTATTTTTTTTACTTATTTAAAAAATTTAGGTAAAATTACTTTTGACTTATTTAGAAATAATTAAAATAAATTGTTCAAAATACTACTTTTTTAAAGTGATTATGAGAAGTCATAAGTATTAGAAAAACTTTTAAAAAGTCACCTCAAATATATCCTTATTTAAGTGTTAAAATTACTTTTACTTATTTAAAAGTGTTTTTAAGAAATTATCTCAAACACTACTTTTTTTTAGAAAAATGAATTATGGTAAGTCAAAAATTTTATTAAGTCATTTCAAATACATTCTTAGTGTCATGAGACGAAATTGTTGATCTCTTATATTTTGGAGGGGACAAGTCAAATAAGAAGGTATGTTATATCGAATTTTGGGTTTTGTCATCCACAAAGAACTTGAATCTCCTTAAAGAGAACAACATTTTCGTACTTCAACCTAATTTATTTTGTATCAAATTTTATTATTTTGTCTATTATTTCTCAATTTATGCAATTACATGGACAAAACTCATCAACACCCACCGTAAGAAATTTGGCCAACCCCAAAGTCAAACAATTCTGCCAGAGATTTACAATTCAAATTGTATTTTACATCTAGGGCGGGCTGCAAACAGAATTTGTCAAACAATAATATTATTTATTATCAAAAAAATAATAATATTATTATTTAGTTCTAATTTATTTATTTAATTTATTAATATAATTTATTATAATTATTTAATAATAACAAATCTTAAAAATTGCTGAATTTTACTAATTATGTGTAATTAAGTTAACATTTTAAATCCGTACACCATTATTTTTTTTATCCCAAGTATATCATTAGACCGACCAATCAAAAAATCAAATGACATATTTTAGGCGATTTTAATAAATTTATGCGACAGTTTCAAATAACTTTATTCAACGACTATCAACGTCCTTCTTAAAATCATTTATATTGCACAGTATCCTCACGTACATGTTATTATTAATAATATTAATGTAATAGCATTGTTGATTTTATTTTTATATATTTAAAATTTAATTTTTTTTATTATAATAATATCACGTGACTTGGTCCCACATCATCGGCCCAATTGTGTTCCACGTCACGTAGCACGTTGAATCTATCGTCCATAAAATCGAGTGTAGTAAAAGTTGGATCTGACCGCGTTGACAGCGAAGCATTCCAACCACTCCCGCGTCTATATATATATACCCACTCTCTCCTTCTCTCTCTGTCACACACTGTCGGTCACATTTATCGTCTTCGTCTCTGCGATTTTGTTTCTCTCTCTCTCTCTCTCTGTAACCGACCCTCCGCTATATAGCCGACATATCCTCTACATTAAGCGAAGAATTTATAGAAAAAGTCCAAATTCGACACATTCTCTAATCTGATTTTGTTCAGTTTCGCTTCTTGATCCGCAATTCTCTCATTTTGAAGGATAGACAAACTGCGAATCAAGAACAAATCTTGTGGTTTAACGGGGTTGAGTTGTTGATTAGGGTTTTGGTTTGCTATATTTATAAATATATATTCAAATTGGGAATGAGGATGAGAGGGGAAATTGCATATAAGAGCGAAGAGGAGGGAGAGTACGAAGAGATGGTGGGAGTGCAGAAGCAGAAGTATTCGGTTGTGGGAGGGTTTCCACAACCGAAGAAGGTTGTGGTTGTTGGTTATGCTCTTACCTCGAAAAAGATTAAGAGTTTTCTACAGCCCAAGCTTGAACGCTTAGCTAGGTAACTCGTTCGTGAAAGCCTCATTACAACATATCTGAACGAAGTATATATGTGTATAATATCTATAACCTAATTTTGTGTTTTAAATTTGAAATTTATGGTGTTTTCATGTCTTACTTTTAACCTAGAAATTGTTTAGAATCTCTTGATAGTGTTACTTGAGAGATTTTGATGTTGGTTTCTTCGCATCTAATAGTAAGTTAACCTTATCTTTGGTTTCGAAAATACAGGAATAAGGGGATATTATTTGTTCCTATTGATCAAAGCAGGCCCCTTTCAGATCAAGGCCCTTTTGACATTGTGCTGCACAAGGTTGGTAGTAGGGATTTCTTGTATCCTTTAGCGCATTTCATGTTTGTCCGTTGATTTAATTCTTACCATGGAGTGTTAATTTGCTAGTGTTTTACAGGCGGAGATCTCGCTCATGTCTGACAAATGCCTTTTTTATTTATTTCATTGCAGTTGTCAGGAAAAGAGTGGCGACACATTCTTGAGGTTGGCCCGTGTACAAAACTTCTAGTGTCTACATTTATATTACAGATGCATAAGAAAATTTTAACTTATTGATTGTTACATCACAATTTAGCTTTGTATACCGTTTAAGCTAACATATGGTGTAGTTTGTCCATGCTGTGGATTGAACATGCATTAACAGTGACTAGTGAGCAGCCAGAAGCCTTGTTGCTTTAAACTTATTCCCATCTGACATAACTTGCAGAATGCTTGCCCTCTACTCCATCATGAGTCATGACTAGATAATTGAGTTCGAAGCCTCAGATTCCAGCAAGTGAGGATCTTTCTCCTTCCATGGACAATTTAGCTGATCTGCAGGTTTTCCTAAGCATTTAACAGAGGATTCCTGGTTTCTTTATACGGGTTCTTTTTTCCTGGGCTCATGCCAACCCTTAATATCAGCTTTAGGAGGAGAGGGCTAATGTAGTTCTTGTTTTTTTAAACTCGGTATTTTTTCTTTACAGTGCTTATTTAATCTTATTCTTCTGGCGTAGATTCTAGGTACTGATTTTCTTTATGTGCTCTTGAATTGCTTGGTATGTTTGCAAGTTGGGTCTTGCTATGTCAAAATATGGACTTGTCAGTGGTACAAGTTTTAAATTTCCCGAGACATAGTGGATTCTTGTGTATAACAATGATCCTTGTTAGTTTATTTCAAAGTAATAAATTAAAACTATGCATCATATTTTGTTGTTTATCCATTTACGATGCCTCTTTTCAATAAATTCATTTTCTTTTTTCAAATAATTATTTATGTATTTAATCAAAATTAATATGCCGATTTGTTTTCCACAATTTTGTTTTTTTGTCTTACCTCCAGTGGGTGTAACTCTTTAAAGTTGAAGGGAAAATGTCAGAGGTTAGGGTTGATCTAGTGATCCCTCCTTGTGCACTGGCTCAGTGAAACTAACATTTGTTTCTTCAAATATATATTCTGCCTTTCCGTTTGTTTCAGAAATGTGTTGTTTAATCCTAATGAATTTTGGTGTAATAACTTGCTCTCCCCCCCCAAACAAAAAAAAAAACCCCGGCCCTCACCCAAAAACCCATCAGATTCCTCAAATTGAAGAACAAAATGACATGATTGGTGCTATTTAATTATTTTGACTCGTGTCCCAACCCAAATAATCCAATTATATGGGACTGAATGCAATAAATGCACATAAAAGAACATATTGAACCATATTGTTGAAAATATTTGTTGTGTCACAAATGTGATTATTCAACATGAATACAGACTGTCACAAATGTGACGTGCTTTCTCATTGTTGTACTGTGATATCCTTTATGTTGACATACTTTCGTGTCTTGAACGCATGCCATAAATGTTAGAAAAAAAATCGGTTTTTGGTACTTGATTTTGCAGAATTGTTACATCCTTCCATCTATTTCCTAGACTCTCTACAATTGTTGCTGTTAAATTATGTTGTTTGGGATCAATTCTAGATATTCATTCAACAGTCAAACACCGCAATGGTTGGTATTTGTGTTCTCATGAAAAGTGATAAATAAATGAATCTCTTAGCTGCATGATCTTAATTACAAATTGAGGGAAGGAATATTTATGTTGTGTGGACCAATTCATGATGCTTGGTTTCATTCAACAGAACATTGCAATGGTTGATATTTGTGTTCTCATGAAATGTGATAAATAGATGAATCTCTTAGGTGATTCATCTGAAATAACAAATAAAGATGCATATCTTTCCTTAAGAATTGAGTTTAATTCACAGTTTTTTTGAGTGGTGGAGATGGTCATTTTATTAGATGGTGTTAAATTGGAGGATAGAAAATCTGAAAGCTTTCATAAGGCCCTGGAAATGGTAATTATACATGTGATACGACCTCAACCAGGCTTGCATCTATTGGTTTGCGAGCTTTGTGTTCCAATTGAGATTCTCCCTTGTCTGCAGGATGAAATTGCATTTCTACATTTAGCCTGTGCCTAGCATTTTTTCTGTTTTATATAGACATGTATGCTCAATAGCATTAGTTCTTCCTTCTTACCCTTTCTTTGCCTCTGTTTGTAGGATTACAGGCAAACACATCCAGAAGTCACAGTCCTTGATCCTCCTGATGCCATACAGCATGTATATAATCGCCAGTCCATGCTTCAAGATGTTGCTGACTTAAATTTGTCTGACACCTTTGGTAATTTTGTACTATTTCCTAGGATTTGTGGAGAAGAATTTGTGCTTATTGAGGTTTTTAGTCATTGATTTTAGGTTGATAATTGACAAGGGTGGCAAGTGACATAGTTTTGCTCTCAATGTTATTCTTGAGAGCATAATTAATCAATCGATGTAATTTTTTTTGAGCATAATTAATTAATTAATTGTAATGTTCAACTATCATGCAGGCAAAGTTCGAGTTCCCAGACAATTGGTTATTAAAAGAGATCCATCATCTATCCCTGATGCAGTTAACAAAGCTGGGCTGACACTTCCTCTTGGTATGATTGCTTTTTGTTACTGGGCTTTTGGAATACGATAAATATGCATATGCAAATTCTGCACATGGGTTATAGATAATAAATACAGAAGAGTACATTGCAGTTGGAAATGCTTGGATTAGGTGTCTGGAAGTTGATCATGTACCTGAGACCTTGCTGTTGTTTTCCTTGGCTCTATATTTTTGGCCAATATAACATGCCAGTGTCTCATGATTACAGAGCTTGAATTTAGTATTTAAGAATATGCCTTGATGATATTGTTTTGTTTTCTCTGTTCCAGTTGCCAAGCCTTTAGTCGCAAAGTCACATGAGCTGTCCTTGGCTTATGATCAGTACTCTCTGCAGAAGCTAGAACCCCCACTTGTTCTTCAGGAGTTCATTAACCATGGTATGCGAATGTAACTCAACTGGTGTTTAATGCTTCTATAGTTGTCACGAGTGTACGAAAGCATCTTGAAGAGCCATTATCTTTGTGGTTGTAGGAGGTGTTCTCTTCAAAGTTTATATTGTTGGGGAAGCAATTAAGGTTGTGAGGCGTTTCTCTTTACCTGATGTGAGTAAGCGTGAACTTTCCCAAAATGCTGGTGTATTCCGCTTTCCAAGGGTTTCTTGTGCTGCTGCATCTGCAGATGATGCGGACTTGGACCCGTGTATTGCTGGTGAGGCCATTCCCCTTTATAGCATTGTCGTTTATTATTGTTTTATCTCCAAATGTGTTGCATGGGTTATTTGCTGGCTTGTCATGCATAATGTTTCATGCATTGGCTTGAAGCATGGGCTTTTGAGTGAGATTGCGTGCTAGGCTCTGAGAGTGTGAGAGAGAGAGAAAAGAAGGGGGAGGAGGAGAGGGGTTATGGAGTTCTCTATCAACTAGCGGTCATGGTCAGGTGGATTGACTTTAAATCCTAGTCTGGGTATATTAGCAGAAATTATAATGCTATATAAAAGATAATCAGTTGGACATCAACAGTGCGAAACCTATTTTGAATCATGCCTTTGAAATTTTGTTTGGTCCCTGACATGTTACTTTGTCATCCTTCACTGCAGAGCTTCCTCCAAGACCTTTACTCGAAAGACTGGCAAAAGAACTTCGTCGTCGACTGGTACTCTGCTGTTTCTCTTTATGACTTCAAACAATATTACTTTAAATGTTTGCCCTCGTATTTTATTAACTGTTCATTTTTTATGGTCTTTGTTATTGTGTTGTGGTTGTAGGGTCTTCGGCTGTTTAACTTGGATATTATTCGAGAACATGGAACCCGGGACCGCTATTATGTCATAGACATCAACTATTTTCCTGGTAAGGGAAAACCCATTTCATGCAATAGCTTGCTGCTCGATGGTTTACTTTTATTTCTATATTCCTAGCGGCGCCATGTGCGATGCACTATATTTTCAATCTCTCCCATGACAATTCTACTGTCCCTACCCTTACCCTCACCCCTTATTCCTTATTGCCACCTCTCATTCGAATTACACCCAAACCCTAGTATTTTTGAAAAATTAATCATTATTGTGCTAATTATGGATGATGAAATAAAGTAGTTTTGTGGGATAGTTACATAAGTCATATGAAATGTTTTAATGACGAGATCAATGCATTGTTATTGAATAATTTAAAATTAAAAAATCTAGTACTTGATGAGGGAAAATTTCATAAGCATCCTCTCTCCTAAATTGATTGTTATAATATGTAGTAAATATAGATTTATAGGAAAGAGTATGTGTGTGAGAGAGACAAGGAAAAAGAGAGATGATGGATGAAAAACTTGGGATGGTTGAAAAATTTTAGGAATTATTCTATTTATTAGGAATTAAGTTATTCAAAAGAGGCCACTGACATACAGCCAAATGAAAATTGACAATTTAAAAAACAAAAAATTCAAAAAAATTTGAATGGGGTTTTGAAGCTCATCCAAGTCAACTACATTACTATGTATTATGTATAGATTTCATTAGTGTAACTCTTTCTCTGATTTCTACCGTTTTCCAAGTAGAGTTTTGTTACTGTTTCTTCTATTTTGCCATCCAAATGGTGTTGCGTAACTATGAAGGCTTGCCTGTATTAAGTGTGATTTTGCCTCCACCTTGTTTACGAAAATATATGTATGTTTTGTTCTTTGAAGGCATAAGCTTATTTTTCCATGTTTTTGAACAAATATTGCAGGATATGGGAAAATGCCAGAATATGAACACATATTCACAGACTTTCTCCTGAGCCTGGTGCAAGACAAGTAGATGGCAGCGTCCTGCTAGCACAATGCCTGAACGCCTGGTGATATGTGAAATGGAAATCCGACTTTGAATTTTCATTCCATTCCCAACAAGTGAATTCCAGTTAATCCCATGCATATGGGGACTGTAAACTTGCGCAATCCCTGCATTAAATTCTAGCAACAGTTGGTGGACGCGTGTGGAGGCGCAAAAAAGACCAAGAAGCCCCAATATTGCAGTTGGCCCGTGGGAACTTTAGGGCTACTTCTGAAACAACCATGCTTAGAACAGTTCCAGTCAGGCTTCCAGTTTTGTTTCTAGTTTGTTATTTTTTAATTTTGGTTCTTTTGGGTGTCCAAATTTTACTGTGTGGTGTAACTTGGTGGTCTGAGCAGTTGGATCCAGGATTGATCGGAGTAAGACTACCTTGTGCATCCTTCATGGCTGAATGCCTTGTACATTCTTTCATATCTAGAACTATTTTAATAGCAATTTGTTGAACCTCTTAATGGAAACACCTCGGAGGGAAGCGCTATTAGTCAGGTAAGGAAATTTTAGGGGTGTCAATTTTTTCTGTTGACACGAACTTGAAAATAATACGATTAATTGACATGAGTAATAAATGAGTCAAATTAAAGTTCGACATGAATAACACGATTAATAAATATTGTAGATAGAAAATAAGAATTTTATAATTTTTTAAATAATATTATATCAGTTATTGTCAAATTAAATAATTTTTTATTAACATGAATTCGACACGTATCGAAAGTGATACGACACGAAAATAATACGATCAGAAATGACACGACATGAAACTGATACGACGCGATATCAAAACTACCTCTAAAAATTTCACCCTTCTCTCCGCATTAGTTGTTTCTGCAGTATACTTTTGGCAGTGATGTGTGCGAAGCGAAGCAGCAGGAATTGGTGCAAATAACTCGTGTAAGAGCAAAAAAAGGAGCAGACTGATGAGGTGGTGTTTCAGGCACGAATAGAACGATCTATATTGGTTCTATTTCAAAAGGGTGAAACGAGGTCTGTCTTAGTTGAGACATTGCCAATGATTGAATTTGATGACTTCCTTCGGTTTTTGCAATTAAAAAAATTTAGTAAACTATACATATAACCATTAAACTTGCTAATGATAGTAATTGAGCCTCGATGCTTTCACTATCAAACCATTGGTTCGGTTTGAAACATGTACATTTTGGACACGACTTGCGAATTTTTGAAAGAAATCAACACAGAACAGAAATAACAGGTTAAGATTTGATAGATTTGAATACGAAATTTTCCTCAGTCAACAACTCCCATAATTTTTTTTTTGTTGCTCCAACTTTTCTCAAGACTTATGAAATTAAGACAGCTAAGTTTTTCTGACTATTTGATACAACAAATTCTCGTAAAAATGGCTAATTCTCTTGTCTAAATGATGACTAGCAGTATCATGGTGAGATGGTATCACCTTCTTGTTGACTTATTGACCTATTATTAAAGCCATAAATAAATAATCACCACAAAACACCTACTTTTCTATAATTTACTCTTTATGATTACTCGTAAAGAGTAAATTAAGCTTTCCATTACATCAGGAATGACGTTTAGGATCATGCGAGGCCTCTAAACAATTCCAGTGAGCCATGTGTCTTCACCATGTAGGCCCAAAAACATTGCTCTTGGATTTTTTATTACCAATTATTTTGTGTACAAGTTCACTTCATATTAAATCACTAGGGTGTCTCCATGTAAAAATAAAAAATAAAAAATAAAAATTCCTATAGTTGAAAGGGGACATATAAATAGATTGAGTTATTAACATAAAAAAATTAATATAAAAGTCATAATTAAAATAAAAAAAGTCAAATTTAAACGATTTGGGACATTATTGTACATTGTGTAGGTAAGAAATTGTGTTTTATTATATAGTTTTATCATAAGTTCTAGTAGTTCTACGGGAATTTAATTTAATTGGTTATTCTTGATTTTTTTAACATTTGAAGAAATAAGAAGTCAATAAATTAAGACTCTGTTTGGTTTGCATCTAAGAAATTATTATTATTATTATTTTTTGAAAACAGTTTTATGAGAGAAAAGTTATTTGATCAATAGTTTTTTATTTTTATTTTTTGAAAACTGAGAAAAAAATTGAATAAATTTAGAGAACAAGTTATAACTATTTTGTGTGTTTTTAGAAACTACCTTTCCAAAATTTAGAAAACATCATCACCATTATCACCATACATCCACCATCAGGGGCGGAGCCATAAATTTTGTTTAAGGTGGATATTTTATTACGCACTCTGATCTTTTTCTTCCTAACCAATCATGTTATATAATAAATTTATATTTATTATATCATGTTTGATACATGAAGTCCATTTAACATAAAAAATGCCAAAAAATAATGCATATTATATATGTACAAAAAATGACTAGTTATCACCATCATAAAAAATAGAGCTAATTGTTATTTTTGTAATAAAAAAATATCATTTATTTACTAACAATCTATTAAATTTATTAAATAAATGATGTTCCAAACACACTGAGATAATAACATAGTAAACTATTAAATTAAAACTTAAGAGTTAAACACAGTAAAAAAATTTAAAATGGATTGACAAATAATAAAGATTATAATCAATTCTCGAATAAAATTAGAGACGATTTCTCATAAAAACAAAAAGTTAAATGAAGGTCAATTATAGGAATTTTTACTTGTAAAAATCCATAAATAATAAAATTAAGGTCATCTGAAGAAAACCTTAATAAAATAAAAAAATTGTCTTATTGTTTTATTTACTTTTACAATACTGCTCGGTTTTATCTATATAGCTACAAGTATTATAGAAAAATCTAAAATTTCATACCATACCCATAAAAAAATTGAGAAGATATGATACACCATAATCAATTCACAGCTCAATCAATTAAAAAATTGGATCAATACTAAATTTCAACAATTTGGGATCCATCCTAAGTTTTGAGAATCAATCCTAACTTAATTCTATTGAGTCGCAACTCGATCTATTTGAGTCACAATTTAATGTGATTAAGTTTTAAATTTTGTACGATACTCAAATTTTAACAATATGGGACCAATTTTTTTTCTGTTGTTTTATCTGGGGCTAGTTTTTAAATTTTTTTGGGTAGAGGTGTTGGGCCTAACATTTTTGTCCTTAGTTTTTGGTAGGCACAAAGTAATATATTATACAAACATATAATATATACCTAGGTAATAATTTTTTTTTTAGGGGGCATTTGCCCACCCTGGACTATTCATAACACCACCACCACCACCCCATTTACACTATCACTACATTTTTGTTTTCATTGTTTTTTAAATTAATGTCCAAACAAATTTTACAAATTTCTATTCCGTATAATTGTTTTTAGAATTATACAATTAAATAAGTTATATGAAACAAAAAATATTTTTTGAATATTTTTTTTTTAAAACGCAAATCAAAGCGCAACCCTTCCCAAATTTATGACTCTTTAGATCATAGTTTTAAAACCTGGCCCGGCCCGGCCTGACGGGTCAACTCGATGAACCAGTGTTCAAATTAGGTCGGTTCTCATAAAAAGACCGTTTGTACATTAAACTCGGGATCAAACTGTTGAACCAGTCAAAAATTGGTAAACCCTTGTGTGAATCGGACGAGTTAACTAAACCGGACGATTTAAATTGATTTGTATAAATCTGAGCTTTTTTACACTTTTTGACATTTTACTCTTTAAATCGACTTCCAGACATCATTCTCATTACCCTAAATTGAGCCATCCAGATTCCAGACCACCAGGCACCAGGTACCATCGACTAAGCAGTGAGCATAGCTCCACGACTGAGCAGTGAGCACAGTTCCACGACTAAGCAGCCAGTAGCAATTCCCCCAGGCACCAACGACTGCCTCCAATTCAGTGACAATGTGAGTTCTCTTTGTCTCTATCTCTATCTCTGTCTCTCTTGTTCAGTGACTATAATCAGTCACTATAATTAGTCACTTGGTAAGTAGGATTTTTGGGATTCACAAATTGAGTTATTCAAGAGTTTGCGATTTGGATGTTTCACTGTTTTAATTGAACTTGTGAGTCAAAATTATTGCCTCAACATTTGCATAGACACCCAAAATAAGTAGGATTGTGCTACCCAGCTCCTGTTTATTGTCTTCCATAATCATAGTGCTTTATACATGTCTCTGTGAAGCATATTCCTTGACAAAGCCATGATATAATAGTAGAAATTGCATGTTAAGGGTGGACTAGGCTTGTGTTTTGGTTGCCACTGTTAGGTTTGAGTTTTACTTTTATGAAAATTGTTATTTTATATTTGGGATTTTGTATTGGGTTTTTTTTTTTGATCAAAGATTTTGTACTAGTAACTTATGAAGCGTGGTATTGTACTTTTCATTTGTGTGTTTTAGCTTATTTATTATTATTTTTTATTTTTTAATTTTTTATTATATTACTTGTCCGACCAGTGACCCAACGGTTGAACTAGTAACCCATTAACCCGGTCTTTTTACCAGGTTGACGTCTGGGCCGGGTTTTAAAACTATGCTTTAGATGAGAGAGTTCGTTGAGAAAAGTACACGAGACCCATTGATGCGAGCACAAGTTATTTGGGATTCTATATGATATTTCAATTTCTACTGTGTCATTTTTTGGATTATTTTAGCCCTATGACATGCTTTTTTATTTATTAAATTATAATTATGTGTGATGATTTTTGCACAATAAATAGAAAAAGACAGTTTTTTCCTTGGTGAACTCGTATTTAGTTTTAAAGTCGGTGATCCAGTGGCAAAGGGCCACCAAATGTGGCCTAAGAAGTGGTGATGAATTGCTATAGGGGTTATCCGATCAATTCCGACGACCCATAGGTAGTTCCTTGCACAAAAAGAGAGGTTAGAAGGGCGTCAGAACGTTTTCCAGCGTATCCTCTCTGACTATCAAGTCGGTTTCTGTGAGAGAGAGGAAGGAAAAGTATTGTGTATTTGCTGGGAACTGGGTTTTCGTACCTTTGTGTTGAGTTTGAGAGTGCTATTTATACCTTCTATGAAGGTCATCATCACCGGCTAGTAGGCAGTGCTGTCGTTGGGCAGTACACCCTCCATTTTGCAGGGACTAAGTTCAGACATCTACTGCTCGACTTCCCGAGCATTTAAAGCCCTCCTTTCCTAGCTCTTGAATATTTAATGTTCTTTCTTCAATGCATAGGCATTAAATGCTCGGGCTATGGAGCATTCAATGTTTCTTTTTCTAGGCTCATCAAGTCATTACAGACGTCACACCCTCCCAAGGATTTATTAAATGCCTCTCTGGGATTACTGCATGTCAGCAGCCAGCAGGAGTGTTTCTGTTAATCTACCCCTAGTCCTGTACGTCATGCCACGCGTCTAACCCCCTGGTCACTGACTCTGTTTACTTTGCCATTCTGACTTCATGGGGGCAGACAAGCCAATAATTCCCTATTTAAACTTTGAGATTGATGGACTATAACCACCAATAATCCCCCCAAAGCTGAGGTGACGTGTCCAAAAAAGTTCTCGGGATCTAACCACGTAGAGGGACGCATAAATCAAAAATTCGAGGGTTTTTTCGGTGCCAAAGACACATGTCATTATTTAGAAGCCGAAAGGTGTCCTTGGTGTCGAGAACACGTGTCACCATTGTATTCAAAAGTGTTTTTGGTGTCGAGGACACGTGTCATCATTGTAAATCGAAAGTCTTTTTGATGCTGAGAACACGTGTCATCATCATACTGCTTTAGAGTTTTCGATGTCGAGGACACATGTTAGATCCCTGATCCCTCTCTGAAATATCTCATCAATAATAATTAATTCTCAATAGAAATAATGTTGTATAGTTGTAGATTATAAATATATAAGCAATAATGTAACATTATGTAAGAATAGGGAAAGTGATATACGAGGTTAAGTGGGCCTAAATTCTCTACAATTATTTATAAGTCTATTAATAGATTGAATTTTCATCTAACTGAGCAATTTTGACTAAAAATTTAATTTAATTTATAACCAATTCAATTATTTGAGAAATTTAATTTCCAAGGTAAATATTTAAATTTATTAAAAATCAAATATCTAATATGATATTGCAATTAACTTAAGTAAAATTAATTTTAATAAATTATATTTAAAATTCAAACAGTAACCACACAATATAATTATGTATAACTTGGATCGTACTATAATCAGACTAGTGATCGCTCCGTGCAATATACGAAATTTATAGTATATTTTCCTTGTCATTGGCACTCATACCTTTTTACCACTTCCTAATATTATTTAAAAATTACATACTAACGAGCTAAATTTATATTTGACAAAAATTAAAATATAAAATTTTCATTATCATTGTCACTCATACCCTTTTACCACATCTTAATATTATTCAAAAATTACATACTAATGTGTTAAATTAATATTTTATAAAAATTAAAATATAAAATTATTGACAAAGATGATGAAAAATTCAAATATGAAAAATCTTAAAAAATGTTAATATGTGGTTATATATGTCACGTGTTTGAATTTAATTGGACAAGACCAATTAAATTATCCAAAATTAAGAAAAAGTAGAATTTTAAATTCTCTCCTAAAGTAATTATTTTAGTATATAGTATAGAATTTAGATACTCTAAAAATTAATACATTTAATTAATTAAATCTTAAATTTAACTTAAAATTCAAACTTACTTACTTTTTTGTGCAACCCTGGACTTCCTAAGGGTCCCAGAACCAGTTAGGATAAAACGACTGGGACCCACCACACTCACCCAGGGTGCAGGTATAGAAAAACCGAAAGCAAGAGTTGATTTGGTCATTAAAAGATGGGACCCACCAGGACATTAAATTGATCATGCTTATACCATGCTTCGGTGTCCAATAGAATCCTACTAAGCCAACTCTTATTTTATTTATTATTAATGACAGCTTGTACACAGCTGTACTCCAACTACACTCCAGTTTGCTTAACTTTCGTTTAACTGCTAATACTCCCCCACATCCCTTTTTTCTCTCTCGTACTCCTACGCCTGCAGAAGAGAGAGAGAGACTTCATCAGAGTCCAGGATCCAAGATAAGAGTGAGAGAGAGAGAATACCAGCAGCGGCAGAAGAAGAAGACTATTGGTGGGTGGAGCCATGGCCAGTTCATCTTCTCTTGTTTCACGCTTCCCTATGGATTCTTCTTCTGTTATAGCCTATTTTATTTTCCCCAGCACACATTAGCTTAATTCCCCTCTCTCCCACTCCTTGGGTTTGAAGTTTCAACTTACCGAACGCTATAACGAGTTGAATCGCCGGAAGAGCACTGGAAAGCTGACAATGGATCCGTGTCCATTTGTGCGCCTCACCGTCGGCAATCTCGCGCTGAAGATTCCGGTGGCCTCGAAACCCGCTCGCTCCGTTGTACATCCTTCTTCGTCGCCATGTTTCTGCAAAATCAAGTTCAAGAACTTCCCTACCCAAACTGCCGTCGTGCAGTGCATTCCACCGGGAAGTAATCAAACTTCGGAGGCTATTATTGTCCAAGCCCTAGCCGCTAGTTTCCATCTAAACAAGTCCGACATTGAAAAATTCGCTGGAAAATCTATCTTCGTCGGAAAATTGTACCTGAAAATATCGATCTATACGGGACGGAGAGGTACGACTTGTGGTTTGAACTCTGGGAGGCTGTTGGGGAAGGTTTCGGTGGCGTTGGATCTGGCGGGAACGGAGTCTAGAGCTGTGGTGTTCCAAAATGGTTGGATTGATATTGGAAAAGATCCGAAGAATTCGAACGCGCAGTTTCACTTGACTGTGAAGGCTGAGCCTGATCCGAGATTCGTGTTTCAGTTTGACGGCGAGCCTGAGTGTAGTCCTCAGGTGTTTCAGATCCAAGGCAACATCCGGCAACCGGTATTCACCTGCAAGTTCAGTTTCAGAACCACCGGTGACAGGACTCAGAGATCTAGGTCAGTTAGGATTTCTCTTTTGTTTCTTGCCCTAGAATTTTATTTTCTACCTTTTTTGGTTTTTTATATAAATTTTGAGGAAATAAACAACCTTTTCTGTCATTCTATATTTGGTTGGAAATCTTCAAAATCACTGTGATCCGCGTAAAGCAAGTTCCACAACTTTAATTTGTACGGCTTATCAACTTTTTTATGGAGCTAGGTTAAGATCACAGATTCGGTTAGTAGAAATTTCAAAGAATAAAGAGGGTGATTCAGAAAGTTTTAGAACTCTACATTCTCAGTTTCGATTCTTGATCTCTCTCTTTGTGAAATGTTTTATTGATTAACTTGATTTGGTGAATTGTGAATGTACAGGTCGTTGCAGGTTGAGAATGGCAGTTCAAGAGGGTGGTTGAGCGCGTTCGGAAGCGAGAGAGAACGACCGGGAAAGGAACGAAAAGGCTGGTCAGTGACGGTCCACGACTTATCCGGTTCAGCGGTCGCCGCTGCATCGATGGTCACACCATTCGTGGCCTCACCTGGTTCAGACCGAGTCAGTCGGTCCAACCCCGGCTCATGGCTTATTCTACGCCCTGGTGACAGCACTTGGAAACCCTGGGGCCGCCTCGAAGCCTGGCGCGAGCGCGGCTCGGCCGACGGCCTTGGCTATCGATTCGAGCTAATCCCCGATTCCGCCGCCGCCGGCATTGTCTTAGCCGAGTCGACTCTCAGCTGCAGTAAGGGCGGAAAATTTACAGTTGACTTAGCATCGAATGCTACGAACAATGGAATTGGGCGGCCGAGCAATTCGACGTCGCCGGCGTGTAGTCCTAGAGGTAGTGGGGACTACGGGTACGGTTTGTGGCCATACTGTATGTACAGAGGGTTTGTAATGTCGGCGAGTGTGGAAGGTGAAAGTAGTAAATGCAGTAAACCCACGGTGGAGGTTAGTGTGCAGCACGTGAACTGCACGGAGGATGCAGCGGCGTTCGTGGCTTTGTCAGCCGCCATTGATCTGAGTATGGACGCTTGTAAACTTTTCTCTCAAAAGCTGAGGAAGGAATTGTGCCCCCCACAGGATTTACTCTCGTGACGGTTCCGATTTGTCAGTCTCTTTCTTGGGTAAACGGCGAAGAGTATTGTTCGCCGTTGCGGGCCGGGTAACTACTGATACTGACTACTAGGTTTCTGTACAGATGGGAGTGGAGATTTGACAGGGCACGCTCTGTTTTTGTTAGGGGTGACTTGTGTAATTTTTGTATTGTTTCGGGGTCGTTTTTTTATTTTCCCCAACTGTAAGTTTTGTAGTTAGCTAGCTGATCCAAGTTATCTCAATTACAAAATTAAGGTTTGTTTTTACTATTTTCCAAAGTGTAAGATTGGAATTTAATTAAATTTTTTTTTTTTTTTGTTATAGCGTGTGTATACTTGCATTGACTTTGAGGGAAAGGTAATTTTTATTTTTATTTTTTTTTGCTTTACTACGCCAGTTGTCAAATAGGACTGTGGAATTATTTGAGACCGAGTTTACAGTGCTAAGATTTCATACAAATTATTTGCAGTTGATGCTTAATATTTATTTGGGGCTAATTGTATTTTAAATTATTAAAGCTTAAACCTGATTTTTATTTGATTCCTAAACTATCAATTAAAATAATTAAATGTTTAAACTATAAGTGTTATTTTAATTAAGTTCTTTAATTCAAATTAATCAATAATTAGAGTTATATCAGCCCGATGGGATATAATTGTTAGATTAATTTTTAGGAAGTTGACTCTAAAGTTAGAGCATATGTATCTTGCGTACTTCATCTTCAATTAGATATATTTCCTCATCTTTTAACGATTTAAATTGTGTTTATGGTAATTTAGTGAAAATTATGTATGTGGTTGAGACATATAGTGCTCACCTGATTTTTTTTTTTAATCATAATTATTGATGAATTTTGGCATGTGAAGTTTTTAGACTTAACTTCAAGACGTAATTCAAGCGATAATATGGACAAGCTTTAAATCTAAACGTCTTAAAATTAAATTTTAGCAACTTATTGATATTAGACTATAAGAAATTTATTCTTCATGAATATCATAGTCCCGACGTGGATAACTTGTCTTTAACCGGATCAGGGAAGGGATTAATCAAGGTGTTCGTAAGCTAATTCAGACACTCTTGATTGTGTAACCAAAAAAAAGAAGTTTAAAGACTTGATTGTTATAATTAATTATTAAAAGACTAAATAAAAATCAAATGTAAAGTTTAAGGGTATAAATTATACGAGTAGTCTACAGTACCAGGAAAAAAAAATTTGATATTGCACTAATATTTATTATTTTTATGAGTATTATTATCACTGTTATGATTATTTTAATCACTATTATGATTTCAAAAAAAAATGATAAAAATAGTTATCACAAAAGTATTAAATCTCTCACAAAAATGATAATTTATTTTATACCGAAAAAAATGGTAAAAATAATTCTCACAACAATAAAAAAATTCCTCAAAAAAAAAAAACAATGATAAAATTACCCAAAAAAGTGATAAAATATCCAAAAAAGTGATAAAAAAAAATTTTTGTAAAAATATTCATATAAGTTATAAAAATATGTACAAAAATAATATATTTTAGAGGTATGATATTAAATTTTTTATTGGGTACCGTAGTCTAAGTCCTAAATTATAATTCACCCTATTATTTAATGCCATATCAAGCTTGGGTAAGATGGAAAAAAAAAAAATCTAACATGAAAGTAGTTGAATTCAAAAGGGAGGTTGGTGCGAAATTGGGCAAAGAGATGTGCGTGCAAGCAAGGGTTGAAAACTAGCAATTTGTGATTATGATAATTGGCGGGACTCTAGGTGATTTTACAACTCTCGAGTTGACATGTGGAATAATGAAGTCGTTGGAATATTTAAAGGTAAGCCGAGGTATGGTGATACGGAGCAGCCGAGTACGACAGCTAATATCCTATTTAATGCAATGTAACCTCTCATTTATGGCGGATTGAGTGATAGTGATAAGACAAATAAATACGCGTTTGCTAACACCTACTCTCTGAGAATTTAAGCCTACTGTCATGATGACTAAGCATTAATGGCTGATGCGTCGAGCGACGCGATTGGCTCTCCCGAGAAACTATTCCTCTCGAGTATTCAATGCTCAGTTGATGTCAGATACCGATCTGAAAGATTTGGGTATTCGGGGAGGCATAAATGTTCAGCATATGACTGAGCATTTACCCCATTTTTTTAGCTTTCAGTAGGAGGAGACGTGAGTAGAAAACACTCATTGCACGAGGAATGATATGTTAGATATAAGATGTCCAGATGAGACTGGAGATCTTTGGCAATCATTGCTAATTCAGGTATAAATACTCCTCAGAAAAATGGACAAAGGTATACAAACTTGAACTAAAAAAATAGTCCATTGAGCAAAATCCTTCGACTTTATACTGACTTAAACTTCGGAGGGGATTAGTCGGGCACACGCCTGACCCTTTTTTTTCTGACTCCGTTGTTTCAGATTCATCAACTTGGAGATCGCTGTCTCATACTATTGTAGAAATTATACCATACAATAATGCTTTGATTAATGTCATTAATATGGATGATAGCTGTAATACTCTTTCTGTGGTGGGGTGAGATTTCATAGACTCCATCTTGTTAGGTTAGGACCTAGTTAGTACTAGAAACTAATTAAATTTTAATTACTTTGTTGGGATTAGCTGACTTTTTATTTTATTTGTATTAAAAACAATAAATGCTTTAGATTTGGTAAGGAGAATCCGATACTATAAATGAAAGAGGTTAAACTATCAATATAGTTTAAATGATAAGAGTTTTGTTGTTTAGTATTTCCATATTTTATTGGGGGCATTCTTATTTAGATTATGAGTTTATGTAATATTCACGAGCTTAGGAAATAGTGTTTGGAACGTATAGTAACTTATAAAGTATGAACATTTGTATCACTATAGACTGATACGTGGTAAGACGAAGATAGACGAATGAGTATTTTATCCAAAGATATGCACATAATCACATGTCTTATAATTTATAAATATATTCTTAATCCGCTGCTTATTCCACGAACGGGTATTTAAGTCAATAAGATTACTCATTGTTGCTTCCTCGTTCAAAGTATTTCTCGGTATAACCACTTGAAAAGTGATAGGAGTAGGTATCCACGTATCATGCCACACTTTAATACTAGTGCCCTCTCTATCCCTCCATCGAGAGCTAACTTCTATCACTTTTCTTACTTCGATGATACTTCGCCAAGTATATGAAAGCCTGTAACCCATTTTGGCCAACATGAATGAGCTGGTTGGGAAATACCTTGTGTCTCATGGCGAACTCTCCATACTTATTTGACCAACATTGCCATGTTAAAGGTCCTTAAATCCGAAAGACCCATTCTTCTTTTATTCTTGCTCTTGCACATGCTTGTCCATTTCACCCAATAAATTTTCTTTTCACCATCCTTTTGTTCCCCCCAAAAGTTGGTTGTTAACGACTCATTCTCTTGGCATAGGTAGTCTGAAAGTTTGAATAACACATAGCATAAGTCAGGATTGATTGGGCTATTGCTTTGATTAGGACATTCTTTCTAGCTTTAGATAGCAACTATTCTTTTCTATTTTTGCAATTTCTTCCAAACCTACTCCCAACTGCTTGTGAAAACCTCCTTGAGTTACCTACAATTGATAATAGTTCTAGACACTTGACGCGACGCACAATTCTTTGTATAAAATACGGTCAATGCAGTTGTAGGTAGGAACAACTATTGTGTATAGTATTAATTCTTGTGCTTGTGAAAACCTCCTTGATTTACCTACAACTGATGATAGTCCTAGACACTTGACGCGATGCACAATTATCCGTATAAATACAGTCAATACAATTGTAGGTAGGCACAACTGTTGTGTATAGTATTGATTCTTGTGCTTGTGAAAACCTCCTTGATTTACCTACAATTGATGATAGTCCTAGACACTTGACGCGATGCACAATTCTCTGTACAAATACAGTCAATGCAGTTGTAGGTAGGCACAATTGTTTGTGTATAGTATTGATTCTTGTACATACAAGTGCGTTTGGTAACGTTGTCATTTTTACGTTTTTTTTTCTAAAAAAATAAAATTTTAAAACATGTTTGATAGCTATTTATATTTAAAAAATTGTGAAAACAAAAATAAAAAACATGATTAATATTATACCAAAAATCTACTATCCAACACCACCTAAACACACCACTAACAACCACCCAACCTCACCTCAAACCACTAAAATCCACCACCCACCACCCCCAAAATCCACCCCCTCCCCCTTCCCCCCCTCCCCGGTTTTCATTTTGGCCCTCGGTGCAGAGAAGAAAGAAAATGGAGAGCTTCAGTTTGAAGTTGTAGAGAGAAGATAGAAGATGAGGACAACTTCCTTCGATTAGGCTTTTATATGGTGAGAGAAAAAGTTAGAGTTTTTGTTCTTAACGAGGTTTGAAGTCGAGATCTTTCATTCCTTCCTTCTGTTATTTTTTTTTTTAATGTTTTTAAAAACATCATTTTATATGTTTTTGAACACTAGCATTATTTTCAAAATGGATCAACAAAAAAAAAATAAAAAATGTTAACCAAACATATTTTTATTTTTATTTGTCCTAAAAAATAAAAAAATAAAAAACAAAAACTTGTGATTACCAAACAGCACCGTAGTTGTGGGCAACCTAGTGTGGATGAATACTTGTGTTACAAATATCCTTAGTATGTATCTCTACGGTACACACTCCTATCTATTTGAGATAAAACAATTTAGTTACTGTAAGAATATTCATTAACTCCACTTACCTGACAAAATTTTTATGAAAAGATTGTTTCTAACAAGTAATAGGTATGTTGAGTCTTTTCATCTAATCCATTTATTCTAGTCAAATTTTTTTTTTATTTGTTGAGATATTTGACATTAGACACATATATCAACTTATCATTTAATTCTCCACCCAAAAAATGATTCTATTAGATTTTGAATTTAATAAAAAAAATGTTATTAATTATCTATACTTTTAAGAACTAATAATTATTTACGGCTAAAGGCATGTTGTAATAAATCAAAAAATCACAAGAAATTATCTATGTTTAAAAGCTTATACTTTTACAAATGATTATGTGCAGTCATATTTCACCTAACAATAATCTTATAAGTAAACGATTAAGATGGTTTCTCAAATAGACAAAATATGAGAGGTAAGTCATTTTTCTTGTTGGGCCCCCCCAGGTGGGGGTGGTTGAACTGTGGGTAGGGTGCATGAGTTGGTGGCGCGTGCGTGGTTGTGGGTCCTGTAATTGGCCGCTGTTCCAGTGGTTTTGTGGGGTCCGAAACGGCGAAACCACCT